ACAAAAAAATAGATTTACTGTTATGTGGACTACTGCATTAGTGTAGAAATGGTATAAATAATATCAACGCACTTGTGAAAGAATATTAAACTCACCAGTTGTGTGTTGGACGCATGGCTTGATTTATTTACTTTTGAACTTTGGCAAAAATCGAACATTTTTGCTACTTTGAGCTCAATTTCAAGGTACTTTTCATTGTGAAACCAATAAAAATAATCTCAATTTCTGTAATATGTCTTCTATTCTATAAAATGAGACCAGGAAAACTAGAATACAGCCATAAATTGCATATGAAAATACACTGCGAAGTCGCTGTTTTAAACCCAAAACACGGTCAAAAAAATTTTTTTTCTCATCATGCACTGTGTGCTGCAGGATTCTTTTTATACTGCGCACACTGACCACATAGACCCATTCTTTCATATGTAGGCCTACCAGCTTTCTCTCGCTAGATTTGAAAGCGCTAGAATTTATGCATATGAAGACGAATTCTATGGCTTTGATCAGTTAGTGACCGAAAAGAATGACCAGGATATCGATAATAGTGCAGAAAACCCTGACGATCCTCAACCTTCTACCTCTGGTGTGGGCACTCGTGACTCACGGTCGGTTGTTCCTCATCGCAAGAGAAAACTAATATTTTCGCGTGGCCAGACCTCTGACTTCAGTAATGATGATGATAGTGACGTGGACTGTGATTTTATTGAGCTCGACGAATCATCGAGTAGTGATAGTGAGGAATCATATTCACCAGTGAAGCGTCGGTATGTTCGCCGCCGCATGCGCTCGGGTAGTGTACTCTATGCTGTGCCAGGGGACGGAGTACATCCCGGAGTAATCCGTGGCCCAACACCAGTTTTAGGTAGTGATAGTGAGGATGATGTGGTTACACTTGGCATGGATAGACCACAGGCATCAGTGGATGGTGTTAGTGGTGATGGTAGTGGCACCGCCATGCGTGACAAGCCAGGCCACGCTGGGACCCACGCTGCTGACTCGTCAGTTCAAGGGACAAAGCGGAGCGCCAGCCACCAGCCCACCACAACCACAACCACCCTCACAACCAGCCTATGATGTCCAGTATCCACCAGCAAACCGTATGTGGGATTGGCAGCAAAATCCAATTTTGTTCCCAAGCCTCACCACTTTGATGATTCTCAAAGTGGAATTCTACCTACTTGTCCCTTGGAACCATGGCAATGAACTGGAATTCTTTGAATTATTCTTTGACCAGCCATTGATGGAAATTATTGTCAGGGAAAGTAATAAGTATTTTGAGTACACCATGGCAAATACGATCTTATCACCACAGTCAGACTACACAGGTGGAAAGAGACGACTGTTGCAGAAATGTATTTGCTTTTTGCAACAATAATGCTTATGCCTCACGTCTATAAGCATAATTATAAAAGCATACTGGTCCACAGATCGGCTAATTTCTACCCCGGTCTTCAGTGAAATCATACCAGTGAACAGGTTTATCTTACTCTTACGTATGTTGCACTTCTCTGACAAAACCAGGCCTGACAGAAGTGACAGGTTATACAAGATTAGAAATGTTTTCATGTATCTCAAACAAAAGTTCAGGATATACTTTTATCCATTCAAGAATCTTGTAATTGACGAGTCTTTGATTTTGTTCAAGGTAGACTGTCATTCAAGCAGTATATACCGAGCAAGAGGAAACACTTTGGTATAAAACTGTTTGTACTCTGTGATTGTGACAGTGGCCTGGTGTTGGATATTGTTGTATTCACGGGTAGTAAAACATTGAAAGATACCAAGATGTTATTGGGTATCTCAGGTGACGTAGTGAAGAAACATGATGGCACCTTATCTTGGTAAGGGGCATACATTATATACCGATAACTGGTACACAAGCCCATTACTCAGCGATTTCATGCGAGTGAACAAGACAGATGTGTGTGGCACAGTGCGTTCTAATCGTAAACATATGCCCAGGCTCAACGCAGGTGCTCGTGGTGATGACGTGCAGGTGTTTACTGCCAATGACATCATGGCATTACGGTGGCTGACAAACGAGATGTCACATTGTTGACAACCATTCACCGTAATGAAATGCAAAACAGTGGCAAAGTTGATCGAGTGACTAATGAACGTATTCGAAAACCAGTGTCAGTGATTGATTATACACAAAACATGCGCTTGATTGACAAGTGTGACATGCAGATTGGTTTTGTTGACTGTGTTCGTAAGAGTTACAAGTGGTACATGAAACTTTTCTTCCATCTCATGGACATTTCAATGCTCAATGCATATAATATGTACCAAATAAAGACTGGCAACAGACCACTGTATGGTGAATTTTGTTTGTCTGTTGTCAGACAACTCATAATGAAGTACCAGGTAACAACACCTGCTATACAACATGGTCCTCGAATTCTCAGGATATACCCAAGCGTTTGAGGAGAGAGGTGATCATTTCATAATACAGCTCTTCAACTCAGAAGAAATTTGCTCAGAAGAGATGCATTGTCTGTGCACAAACAAAACTCGGCAACAAAGACACAAAAGACACTCGGTTTATGTGTGAGGAATGTAAGGTGCCTCTGTGCATGGTGCCTTGATCAAGGGATTCCACAAGCTCCAGCAGTTTTAAAACCATGTCCAATGATTGTAAATATGTAAATATATGATAGAACATTAGTATTATACAAGATTTGTGCATGTTTATTGTAATAAACAACAGTGGTAAAACAATAATATGATAATAACTTTTGTGCGGTTATTGTGTTCAATACAGTGAGTTTATTATTATACATTATATACAGTATTGGTCTCTCAGGCCCCAATGTTAGTAGGAATAGAAAAAATGGAAAAGAAAAGAAAAAACAACTAAACCACAAAATAATGTAATGCGCGTATGTGGAATTCGTCGATGTTGCCGCCACCACATCATTTTTGACAAAACTTCTTGGCACTGTATCTCGTAAGTACTGATCAGATTTTTTTTTGTCTTATTACCTCACAAAATGCTCTTAATTCTGTAAGAAAAAATAATAATTTTTTTTTTTTTTTTTTCAAAAATTTCTTGGCACTGGAGCACCACTTCAGATTTTGGCCTTGGACCTGAAAGGGTTAATGATGAATTATTTTTATATCCTTAAAAAAGCCAACACAGGAGCTTTCAGTTTGTGAAGGAATCAACAGTGAAAGGCTTAAGCATGATTTGTTCTGATTAGGGGTATGTCAAAGTATTAGTTCAGTAGGTATTGTCAGTTTGTACAGTATTAGTACAGTGGTACCTCGAGTTATGAACTTAATTCTTTCCAGAAGGCTGTTTGAGTGCCGCTGCTGAACGATTTGTTCCATAAGGAGTGATGTAACTAGATTAGTCTGTTTCAGACCCAAAAATACACTTACGTAATGTTCGGGTTGGGAGCTGTTCAAAACTCGAGGTACCACTGTACCAGTATTGGTGGGTATTAGCTAATTTTGATGGTATCAGTATCTCTAATTTGAGTACACTGTACCTTGGTATACATCCTTAATCCATTCCAGGACCTTGGACTTATACCAAACAGGACGTATACAAAACAAATTTTCCCATAAGAAATGTAGGGAAAATTATTAATCTGTTTCCATGAAAAAAAATCCTATTGTTATTGGCATATTATACATTGATGGGGTTGTATAAATATTTAAACACTACTTAATACTATAATATGTAATTTAAACACTGCTCAATACTAAAATACACACACAAATACAAAAGAATTAGATGCAATAAATGCAAATTTAACTTCACTTTACTTTGCTGAAAAAGAGTCGAGTGCCTACTAGGATAGTGCTGAGGTGGGAGAGAGGAAATGTTATTGTTTGGAAGGAGAGTCCCCTTCTCTTTTCTGTCTTTTTTCCCTATTTAGACCTGGTTGAGTTCACCAGGTTTGACCTTTACTAAAGATCTGTCCAAAGAACTTTGCTTCTGCCGTCTCCTTGGGATGTTTCAGAAATGTGACATTGTCTGGTCATTCCAGACAATGCTATTACGGCTTGTTTGGGCTTTGTTGGAGTGGTACTTCCCTGCAAAGTTTTTGATGTCCATCCATTTGGCAAAGATTTCCTTGAATAATGAAGTAGGGGCTTCCTCTGTCTCCTCTTCCGAGCCTGAAGAGAGTGCATCCATCTTGGACTTGAGCTCCTCCTTCTCAAGTTCCTACAGCTCCTCAGTGATCAGGTCTTCCCTGTGCCCCTCCACTAACTCCTCCACATCACCATCACTCGCATCCAGACCCATGGACCTGCCCAGAGAGACAATATACTCCACTATAGACACAGCCTCAAAGCAATGGGCATAGTGACGCTAGTGGGCAATGTGGCTTTGTCTCGAGAGAGAGGTAAACAAGGTAGCGCTAGGTGTCGTGACTCATTTTGACCCATACAAGTTCTAGTATGCGAGTCATATTCCAGACAAAGGTATATATACCAAGCAAAAATTTTTGCATCCAAACAGGACATATACATACCAAGCTGGACTTATTCCAAAGCAAATGTATACAAGGTACCACTGTATTGGTATTGGCAAAATACACTGTATTTAGTATTGTCCCATCTCTAGTTCTGATAAAATGGTTCAGTGTATGACTTGAAAATAGCAGTATGTAATCACCAAAAAAAAAAAAACTTTTTTGTTTTTCTTATATTAAGATAAAGGCATTTTCTTATTTTGAGGTAAAGGCATTGCACTTGCCTTTATTATATAGTCTTGGCCATGGAAACAGTACATTTGAGTAATAATTTTTGAGGTATGTTACTAAATGATTTAAAAATAAAAATTACCATTATGCATTTAAGTGTACATAAATTTTTTATGGAAGTACATTATACCTGTGTCTCAAAAATTCTGTTTACTATCCATACTTTAACACTGATGTAAGAGTATATATTACTTGGAAAATATTTTGATTAATCTAGAGTTTTTTTTTTTTTTTTTTTTTTTTTTCTCTTTTTTTTCTTTTTTTTTTTTTTTTTAGATTCACGATGGGGTACACGCATACTAACCAGCCTTTATGTAATGGAAGGGACAGAAAACTTGGAAGATGAAGTTTTTCTGAAGAGACATACCAAACCTGAGCAAGATGAAAAGAGACGCAAGAGGTAATGGACTAATATGCACAGCCTTTCAACCTTTAAACTGTCCAACGTAGATCTACGTTCACATGCGTAGCACTCCGACCTTTATTTTCTCCATTTGAAAGCATGTAAAAAAAAAACGTAGATCTACGTTCGGAGCCCCTTGCACGTGAACGTAGATCTGCGTTTGGACAGTTTAAGGCTAAATTGTTAATTTATTATACAGTGCCACACAGCACTTTCTTGTGAATAGCAATCTTCCAAGGAAAATAAGTAAAATAATAAGCAACAGGTAAATTTTTAATGTGTACTTAACACTTGGTTCACATTTATCTTTAAACTCTTGTGTATTTACACTTATTTTCTTGCATCCTGGGTTCCTGGGCCTTTCTGGAATATTAATTTTGCCAGACCAATAGAGGTCATGTAATAATATAGTAATTCAACAATACACCCCTGACTTACTATTATACACCTTGTGTGTCTAAGCACCATGGACTATGAGAAACTTAAACATTAATATATTGTATATTAATTACTGTGCAGTACTTACAAAGAATGTTGCAATACCACTAATCACAAAAGTGGAAATTGAGGATTGTCATCTGGATTACTATTTCATAGTGGTTGATGATTGCATGATAGATTTGTGATGTTAAAGAAAGGATATCTAGGGCACTTGTGGTTGAAATCACAGAATTTTCAGCTGCAAAGGGTTGATGAGGTAGTTAGATGTATAAAGAGGATGGAGAGGGACAGGATGACAAAGAGGGTGCATAAATCTGGGATGAAAGGTAAGAGGTGATGGTCATCCTAGGAACAGTTGGAGAGAGGGTTTTAGGGGTTGGTCATCCAGCAGGCTTATGTGAGCAAGTTAGATAGGAGTGAATGAAGACAAGTGTTTTTTCTTTTATGATTTAACCTGCTTCTGGAGTGAGCAAGGTAATATGAAGGGATTCAGGGAAACCAGGTAGCTGGACATAAGTTCATCTAACTTATGGAAGAGGTTGGGGATGTTGCAGTTAGGGGAAAGTGAAGTTGATTACAGTGTCAGCACACTTCTGGTAAAAGAGTATTTGAAGGAGTAATGGTAATTGTGTTTCTTCTTTTGAGTTGCCTTTGGTGGGAGATAGTCATTGAGGTAAAATAAAAGTCATGTCAAGCAAGCCTGTTTATCTTAGGGATATCATTCATTATATGAATTCCTTCAGTAAATAATTCTTCCAGGGGCCATATTTACAATTTCCTCTTAATATTATACCTCTCTTACATTCAGTTATACTATTCTCTAAAAAGTGTTCCTAATTTCATCTCCTGTTATTGCATGATTTAATATTGTAACCCCTTTCTCCCATAATTTGTTAAAAATTAGAAAAAAATATTTAGTCTCTAAAATATTTAAGTTATTTTAGTACTATATTGTACTGGAATTTCCTTTCCTACTTGTTCTCCAAGTTAGGAAATTCAGCTTTTGTCCTTTATATCCCATATACAGTGGACCCCCGCTTTACGATCAGCTCCCAGTGCGACCAATTATGTAAGTGCGTTTGTACGTGTATGTTTGGGGGTCTGAAATGGACTAATCTAATTCACAATATTCCTTATGGGAACAAATTCGTTCAGTAATGGCACCTGAACATACTTCTGGGATGAAATAATATCGTAAGGCGGGGGTCCACTGTATATTCTGTTTGCTCAGATAGAGAATAGGTGTTCGATGATTATTGGTCCTCTACCACTTATGCCCAAGACTTTCAGCACATTTATGAAAGAGTTTCTTTTTTGAGGACTTAAATTCCTGCTTCTCTACACAGTGTCTATACAGAAACACAAAATTTGTTCAATTACTTTATTTATGAGCATATGCATAATACAGTAGGACCTCCATATCCACAGGGGATAAGTTCCATGGACCTGCCGTGGATACCGCAACTACGGATAGTAGCAAACTCTATATATAAGTCCTATACATACCTATTATAAAGTTTAATTGATAAATTATGCACAGTTAGTAGAGAATTATCACTTTTTCACTGATGGGAATCATTTCACAGCTTCTCTTAGGCTTTGAAGAACTGCCAGCTTCTCTACTTTTGTGCTCTGGGGTCATTATTATGTAAAATTAAGAGGTATTTTTGAGCCACAGTAAACCATAGATGACTGAATCTGTGGATACCGAATCAGTGGTTACATGAGTTCTACTGTATTTTATAATTTACTTTGATACAGGTGGGATTTACAGAGGATGAGAGAACAACGTCATTATGAGCGTCTAAGGGAACGGTATGAAGGTAGACAAAATCCATGTGAACCAGAGGTATCTGGGTACCATTCGTTATGGCCAAATCCTGAATCAGCTGTTTACTTACATGTTGATGACTGTCTCCCTGTATGTGCCTTTGGTCAACCCATGGCCAGGATACCTCCTCAGTGAGTAATTTTGTGTGGCATTGCAGTTTTAATTCATATACGGGATAGTAAATATAAAACTTCAGCAAAATTGCCTATTACTTTCTGGCTTAACAGGCTTGTCTATACTTAGGTTTTTTGTGAAGTTACCCACTTTTTTTTTTTTTAAGATTAAATACAGCCACTCCTCACTTAATGATGGAGTTCCGTTCCTAACACGACATCAGTAAATGAATTCATTGGTAAGTGAGGAGCATACTATAATGGTAGTGGGTTTGTGTCAACCGTCTTTGATATTGTTTTAATGTTACCTTTGCAACATTTATAACATTTCTGTATATATTTTAACTGTTTATACAGCATTGTACTGTATATTGTAATAAACAAAATTGAGGAAATCAGCTTTAATTTGCATTATTTAGGTATGCATACTGGTCATAGAGCCTGTCGTAAGTCTGAGTCGTCGGTAAATGAGTACATTGCTAAGTTAGGAGAGGCTGTATAATCTTATTTTCCTCAGAGTGATAGCTTTGGAGATATTGTAGGAGCATCCAGAATATGTATACTGTATACAGTATTCAATATATATGGGAATTTACATTTTCAGCAATTTTTTTATTTTTTTGGCAAGTTATCTCACTTATTCTTCAAAATTCACAGAAACCTAGAACTATGAAATACTCAAGAAAACTTAATTCTGAATTGTCATTTATTATCTCTCAGTTGGCACTTATAATCTTCAGGATTAGTAAATTATGTATTTCATAATCAACTCTTTTTTTTTTTTTTTTTTTTTCATTGCAGTAACTAGATACATTTAGGATCAGGAATTGTTGTGCAGTGACTAAAATAAACACAGTGACCTAACTACTACTATGCTACTACAAGTACCATACTGTTCTACTACTACTACCATACTGTTCTTCTAGTACTACTATACTGTTCTATTATTACTGCTGTACTGTTCTACTACTACTATACTGTTCTGCTGCTATACTGTTCTACTATAGGTTGGCCATCACTAATCCGGCATCATTGGGACCTGTAGTGTGCCGGATTAGTGAGTGTGCCGGATTACAGAGCGGTTAGGTTAGAATACACATAATTAACCTATCAATAGAGTCTGCTACGTGTTCCTCATTTTCATCACTTCTTTCTCCTCCACTGGCTTGCTGCTGTCGATTTACAACCATCTGCACAATTTCTGAGTCAGTATAATGAAATTTGAAATTATGCTAGCTGAAATTAGTGCCAGATTAATGATTGAACTGGATTAGTGATGGCACCCGACCTGTACTACTATACTGTTCTACTACTGCTATAATGTTCTACTTCTACTATACTCCTCTACTACTAGTATAATGTTCTACTTCTACTATACTCCTCTACTACTGGTATACTGTTCTAATATACTATTCAACTACTACTAAACTGTTATACTACTAATATACTGTTCTACTACTACTATACTATTCTACTACAATACTGTTCTACTACTACTATACTGTTCTACTACTACTGTTCTACTACTACAATACTGTTCTACTACTACTATACTGTTCTACTACTACTATACTGTTCTACTACTACTGTTCTAGTACTACAATACTGTTCTACTACTACAATACTGTTCTACTACTACAATACTGTTCTACTACTACAATACTGTTCTACTACTATACTGTTCTACTACTACAATACTGTTCTACTACTACAATACTGTTCTACTACAATACTGTTCTACTACTACTATACTATTCTACAATACTGTTCTACTACTACTATACTGTTCTACTACTACTAAACTGTTCTACTAATACTACTACTACTATACTGTTCTACTAATACTACTACTACTATACTGTTCTACTAATACTACTACTATACTGTTCTACTAATACTACTACTACTATACTGTTCTACTAATACTACTACTATACTGTTTTTCTAATACTCTACTACTAACTGTTTACTAATCTATACTACTATACTGATCAAACAACTACTACATATACTGTTCTACAATACTCTACAGGGGACCCCCCCTAACGACACTCCCAACTCGCCCAAATTTAAATGTATGTATTTTTTTGTAGTGCTTTTTTTTTAGGTGAAATTTTTTGGGGTGTAAAACGGACTTCTAATTCACAAAATTTCTTATGGGAAAAAATTTCGGTCATAACAGCCCCCAAACAGACTTCGGGATTGAAAAAATATCGTTGGGGGGCGGGGGTCCACTGTACTCAAAACTGTTCACTACTACTATACTATTCTGCTAAACTACATCTGTTCTACTAATATTTATACTACTAAAAAAACTTTTTAAAAATACACATATGTTCATTTAATACTAATACTGTTCTACTAATACTACTATACTTTTCTACTAATCTACGTACTGTTTAAAATCTAACGTTTCAATAATTCTAAATTTTTTTAATCTACTTACTTTTTAAAATAATATTTTAAAACTTTCTTTCTACAAAATATACTTACTTTCACTAATACTACAACGTTCTACTAATACTACTAAAACGTTCTAATACTACTTACTTTTCTACAATAAAAATATATGTTCTACTTACTACTAGTTCTAATACTACTATAAGTTCTACTACCCCATATCGGGTTCTACTAATATACTATACTGTCTACAATATATATATTTTCTACAAATATAAACGTTTTAATACTACTAACTTTCTCTTACTACTTACTGTTCTATAATACACTATACTTTCTACTATACTATAATTTTCAAAACTACATATGTTTACAAATACTATTTAAACGTTCTACAAATACTATTTTAAACGTTCAATATTACTATACTGTTCACTAATATACTATACTTTTAATAACTATTACTGTTCCTAAACTACTAACGTTTCAAAAAAAAATATACTGTTTACTAAACTACTAAAAACTGTTCAAATACACATACTGTTCACAAATTTAAACAATACTGTTCTACTAAATACTAATACTTTTCTAAAAAATACTCAAAAATGTTCTAAACTACTTACTGTTTACTAATATACTATACTGCTACTAAACTACTATACTGTTCTAATACTATTTTCGTTCTCACCTACTATACTGTTCTACTACTACAAAAACTTTTTCTACTAATATAATATTTTCTACAATACTACTATACTTTTTAAAACTTGTACTGTTTACAATACTATATGTTCATAATACTACTAAACGTTCTCTAATATACTATACGTTCTATAATAATACTGTACTGTTCTACAAATACATACTGTTTACTAAAAAACTACTTACTTTCTAATACTACTATACTGTTCACTAATACTATACTACTATACTATACTGTTCTACTAATATATACATACTATCTGTTTACTAATACTACTATACTTTCTACTAATACTAACTACTACACAACTGTTCTACAATACTACTATATGTTCTCTAAAATAAAAATCTTTTTCTAAAAATCTACAAAACTGTTCTAAATATATCTCTATACAACTTTTCTACTAAACACACTCCTACACTAACTGTTCTACAATATACTATATTTCTCAATAACTACTCTAATGTTCTAAAAACTCTATACTGTTCTACTACTACTACTTACTGTTCTACTAATACTACAAATGTTCACTACCTCTACACTTTTTTACTAAATATATACTGTTTACTAAACTACTTATGTTCTATACACTACATAGTTCTACTAATACTACTATCTGTTCTAATACACTATACTGTTTTACTACTACACTACACTGTTCTACAAATAACATACTGTTCAATATACTATATGTTCTATCACTACTTCGTTCTCAAATACTACTAACTGTTCTACTACTACTACACACTGTTCTACAATAACTTACTGTTCACAAATCACTATATGTTCTATAAATCTACTATACTGTTCAAAATACACTATATTTTCCCAAAAAATACTCTATACTGTTCTACTAAAAAATACTATCCCGTTTTACACTCTATCTATGTTTTACTACACTACCTACGTTTTTACTACTACATACGTTTTTACTACTACTACCTACTTTTTTACGCTACTACTCTATGTTTTACTACTACTACCTACTGTTTACTACTACTCTCTACTGTTTTACTACTACTACCCTACTTTTTTACACTACTACTTACTGTTTTATACTACACTAATTTTTACCTACTACTCTACTCTACGTTTTAATAACTATAATACTGTTTTACTACTACTACTCACTTTTTTTACTACTTACTCTACTTTTTTACACTACTACTTACTTTTTATACTACTACTCTATTTTTTACTCCCCCTACTGTTTTATACTACTACCTACTGTTTTACTACTATACCTACTGTTTTCTACTACTACCTACTTTTTTACTACTACTACCTATGTTTTACTACTATTTCTCTACTGTTTTATTTAACTACTATTACTGTTTACTATATACTCTAGTTTTACTACTACACTCTACTGTTTTACTACTACACTCTACTTTTTTTATCTCCCACTAAAACTGTTTTATACTATCTCTACGTTTTATATACTACTCTACGTTTTACTACACCACTATACTGTTTTACTACATACTTACTGTTTTACTATACTACTTCCCCTTTTTACTCTACCCCACTATATGTTTTACTACTACTACTTACTGTTTACTACTACTACTCTACTTTTTTTTCTACTACTTCTACTGTTTTACTACTATACTTACTGTTTTACTACTCCACATACTTTTTTTACTACACCCCTTACTGTTTTACTACAACCCCTTTTGTTTTTTACTACACCCATACTGTTTTACTACTACTACTCACTTTTTTTACTACACTATCACTGTTTTACTACTAAATCTTACTGTTTTACTATTTCCACAAACGTTTTCTATACTACTTACTGTTTTACTACACTACCTACTGTTTTACTACTACTACTCTTTTTACTACTACTACTACTCTACTGTTTTACTAAACCCATAACTTTTTTACTACTACTACCCTGTTTTACCAAACTACTCTATGTTTTACTACTACCAAAAACTTTTTACTCTCACTATACTGTTTTATACTACTCCTACTTTTTTACTACTACTACCTACCTTTTTAAACTATACCACTATAGTTTTACAAACTATCTCTACTGTTTTACACTATACAAGTTTTACTACACTACCTACCTTTTTACAAAAACCATATACGTTTTACTATACTCTATTTTTTTACTACTACTACCTACTTTTTACTACTCTACCTACTGTTTTAAAACTACTCTCCTACCATTTTACTACTACCACTATACTTTTTTACTACTACCACTATACTTTTTTACTACACATCTACTGTTTACTACTATACCTACTTTTTTAAAACTATATACTCTATGTTTACTACTACCACTATACTTTTTTACCTACACTTACTGTTTACTATTTAACTTACTGTTTTACTATTTCCCACTTACTGTTTTACTACTACTATCTATGTTTACTACTAACTTACTTTTTTTTACTACTACCACTAACTGTTTTACTATACTACTCTATGTTTTATACTCTATCTACTTTTTTTACACTACCATTACTTTTTACTATACCACTATACTTTTTTACAAACCTACTCTACTTTTTTACACTAAAACTCTATGTTTTACTACAACTCTACTTTTACTACTCTACTCTTTTTTTTACTATACTACTCTACGTTTTACTACTACTACCAAATGTTTTACTATACTACTCTACGTTTTACTACCTATCTACTTTTTTACTACTACAACCTAGTTTTAAACTACTACTCTATTTTTTACTAACTACTTACTTTTTACTCAACTACCTCGTTTTACTACTATACTGTTTTTACACTACTACTCTACTGTTTTACTACTATACTGTTTTCTACACTACTTACTTTTTTATCAACTCTACTTTTTTACTACTACAAACTCTATTTTTTACTACTATACCTACTTTTTTTAAACATACGTTTTTACTACCCTAATTTGTTTTTACTATACTACTTACTTTTTTACTACTATACTTACTTTTTTAACCCCCACTTACTTTTTACTACACCACTTACTGTTTTACACTCCCACTATACGTTTTACTATACCACTATACTTTTTTACTCTCCCAAATTACTTTTTCATTAATTTTACATACTTTTTCTGCTAATACTACTTCTGTTCTACTAATACTATAACTGTTTTAAAACACGTTTTTTTCTGCTTTTACTACTAACTTTCTACTAAACTATTAACTATTTTAGTTCTACTAATATTGTCTACTACTACTAACTTTCTATACTATATGTTTTACCTGTGCGTACTATTTACAATTATATATATGTTTTACTTCATACGTACTCTTCACTAACTGTTTTACTACTACTACACTATATCTTTTACACTACACTAAAAACTTTTTACACTATACAATTTTTTCTTCCCACTACTAGACTATACTGTTCTATATTGCAACATTATGACAATTACAAAAAAGTTTTAACCATGTGGGTTATTCATTGCTATAGGAAAGTCTAATGAAGGCTGTGGTTATTATTATACAGTTTTCATGACATGACAGCATATGCCCAGAATAGTTCATAAAAGCATTGAACCATATGTAATCTTATAAAATATGATGGACATGAAAAGTTAGACAAAATGCATCAGAAGAGAGAGAAATTGAAAAGAAATGATGATATTTATCACCATCTACAAAGCTGACAAGACTATAGTTAATATTTTCCTTCCCTTCTCTAGGGAGTTTGTGTTACCATGGTTAAACAAGCCGCTGCCAGGATGGTGTATCAACTCGGCGCAGAAAGAGACCATAGAATTTTGTCCTGAGATGGATAAAGCAAGATTTTACTTGTTCGACCTTTTTTTTTTTTTTTTTAAACTTCTTACTTTCCTTCAAAATAACATTTATTTTTCAATTCACAATAAAAGAGTAACAAACTCTATACAGTAAGATAATATACATAATGTAATACATTTTTTATAAGATTTGTATAACCAGTTATCACATGGCTATATACAAATTATTAAGTGACTCATATTGTGTCTTAACTTGTGAATACTAAGTCAAGTGAGGTAATCTGTATGTCATTTTTAAAAAATACTAATCTTCAGTTTCTCTAAGTTAGCATTTTGTTCTTCCCAGTATGAGTGATTTTTAACACAACCACAGCAGACAATCTGTTTAGTCATATGAGGTTCAGGAATGTAAGCAAGGGCTGAGCTGAGCTAGTCATTTACAGACAGGTCAAGCACCTGATTCTCAGACTTTGGCATCACATTGTACAGTAGTGTCCAAATTTATTCATACCCTCATGATGAACAACTGAAGTTACATTGGGCACCTTTTGATACACATACAATAAAAAGTAGAAACCCTGCATGACTATTTGAATTAATAAAATATCAACAGTGTTTAATTGCTGGAGTATGAAATTAAATGGAAAATGTGCATTTAACCCGTAAACGGTCCAAGTAGATCTACGTTCACATGTGTAGTGCTAAAAAAGTAGATCTAAGTTTTTTTTACATATTTTCAAATATAACAAAAAAAAAAGTTGATCAAAGTTTTTTTACACATTTTCAAATGTAGAAAAACAAAAAGATCTACTTTTTTACATACTTTCAAATGTTGAAAAAACGTATATATACGTTTGGACCGTTTACGGGTTAATATAGAATATGCAACTTTTTTTGGCCCAAAAAATGCTGTTGATAAATATGACATAGTTGTGCAGACATCTACTTCATGTATCTGAAGGTAATAAATGTACACTTGCATGTTCTTGCTAAATCATCTGTTAGTTGCACAGTAAACATGAATTTTGAATTTTATGAATTAGGAATTTTGCACATAATGTACAGTGTTTTTTCATATTCAGCAATTATTTTATATAACTTTACGTAGAAAACTTTGTGGTTATTTTTGTTGTTGTTATTTTATCAGTACACTAATTTTCTGCATATGTTCAGGTGTTTCAAAGCAATTTGAACATTACCTCACTTCTGGCTAGCCCCGTTAGTAGGGGTTATTTTCACGGGGTCTACAAAACACTTGATACTTAATTTTTTATTTTTTTTTTTAAATTTTTTTTTTTTAAATTTTAAATTGTTACAGGGCAAATTCTATTTTTGAATGTGTATTTTTGGGTATTATAGTTTTTTTTTTTAACAAGCGGGTAAAAACCCAAATTTTTTTTTGCAACACTTAAACTGTATATAATAAAAAAAATTACATGCTCAGAACTTTAATTTCAAAAAAATAAATTATGCAAAATTTTACTTTAATCCTTTTTCCCCCTTGCCCCTTTTTTTTTCCACTGCTTCACGGAGAGAAACAATTTTTAAAAGGGAAAATTTTAAAAAAAAAAATTTTTTGTTAAACTAGGGTAGAAAATAAAACATTTATTGCCAGTTTGAATATGTTTAATTTTCCCCACTTTTTCTTTTAGTCCTCTATTAAAATAAAAACTTTAATTTTTTAACCCTGAACCCTTTCGGGTTTTTTCGGCTGTACTAGAACGGTTTTAAACGCCCCGGGGTTTTTGCCCGTACTAGAAACGCCAAAAATTTCTAGCGCCCTCAAATCTAGTGAGAGAAACTGGTAGGCCTCATATGAAAAAATGGTCTTTTTGGGGCAGTGGGGCAGAAATCAAAAAAATCCTGCAAAAAGCGGCGAATGAGAAAAAAAAAAACCTAAACCGTGTTTTTTTGGTTTCCCCCCTTTTCGGGGTTTCCAAAGGGCCAAAAAAATTCTGAAGGGGTTTGCTCCAGTGCCCCCAAGAAATTTTTGAAAAAAAAAAAAAAAATGATTTTTCTTCCAGAATTAAAGAGCATTTTTTTGGGTGAAGGTAAAAGACAAAAAAAAAAAAAATTTTTGATCAGAAACTTCCCCGGGGTAACAGTGCCAAAATTTTTGGTAAAAAAAATGATGGGGGTGGCGGCAACTTTGACAAAATTCCACATACGCACGTTAATTTTTTAAAGGGGTTTTTTATAGTTTTTTTTTTTTCTTTTTTTTTCCCAAAATTTTTTTTCATTCCACAAACCCTTTTGGGGCCTGGAGACCAAAAACTGTATATAATGTATATATAAAAAACTCACTGAAATTGAACAAAATTAACCCACTAAAGTTATTTCAATTATTTTTTTACCCTGTTGTCAATTACAATAAACTTGAAACAAATTTTTTTTATAATACTAATATTCATCAATATTTACTTTATTTAAAAATCACTGGCCCATGGTTTTAAAAACTCTGGAGCTTGTGGAACTCCCTTGAAACAAGGCCCCATGCAGAGGGGCACCTTACATTCCTACACATAAACCGAGTTCTTTGCGTTTTTGTTGCCGTCGTTTTGTTTTTTGGCACAAAACGATGCACCTCTTCGGGAGCAAATTTTTTTTAAAAGTTAAAGGGAAGCTGTATTAAAAAAAAATTTAAATCCCCTTCCCCCCCTTTCCTAAACGTTTGGGTAAAATCCTGAGAAATTCAGGGCCTTGTTGTAAAAGCAGGTGTTTTTAACCTGGTATTTTTTTAATGAGTTTCTGAAAAACAGACAACAAAATTCCCCCAAAAGGGGGGGGGTCCTTTTGGCCAGTCTTTTTTTGGGTTACATTTTTAATATGCTTTGACATTGAAATTTTCCACGGATGGAAGAAAAGTTTTTATGTACCACTTTTTAACTCTTACGAACACAGTCAACAAAACCAATCTCATGTCACATTTTAAACCAACGCATGTTTTGTGTATAATCAATAAACTGTAAACGGGTTTTCCCGAATACGTTCATTACCCCATTTCGATAAATTTTGCCACTGTCTTGCTTTTTCTTTAAACGGTAAAAGGGTTTTTCAAAAAATGTGAAAACTCTTTTGTCATGCCAGGGTTTTCTTTGGGCAAAAAACACCTGCACTTCATCCCCAAACGACACCTCCCTTTGACCGGGGCATATTTACGATTAGCCCGGCACTGTGCCACACACATCTTCTTTTCACTTTCGCATGAAATCACTGAGAAAAGGGCTGTGTACCAGTTATGGGTATAAAAAAGTATGCCCCTTACCAAGAAAGGTGCCATCATTTTTCTCACTACGTCACTTTAAAGATACCCAATAACATCTTGGTTTCTTTCAATGTTTTATTTTCCCGTAAATACAACAATACCCCAACACCAGGCCACTTCACAGTCACAGAGTACAAGCAGTTTTATACTAAAGGGGTTTCCCCCTTTTGCTCGGTATAACTGCTTAAAATGACAGTCAAACCTTTAACAAAATCAAAGACTCGTAAAATTAAACAAATTCTTGAAGGGAAAAAAATTAAAAGTATATGCTAAACCCTTTTTTTTGGGGATACAAAAAAAAACCTTTCTAATCTTGTATAACCTTCACTTCGGGTCGGGCCCTTTGGTTTTGGTCAAGAAGTGCAACATTTTTAAGGGGAAGTTTAAACCCCTGTTCACGGGTAGATTTTCATTTGAAGACCGGGTAGAAATTAGCCGATCGGGGTGGACCATATCCCTTTTTTTTATGCTTATAGACATAGGAAATAAGCATTTTTGGGTTGCAAAAAGCAAAAAACATTTCTGCAACATCATCCCCTTTCCCCACCTGTGTTTTCTTGACTGGGGTGATAAATCGTATTTGCCATGGAAACCCCCAAAATACTTATTACTTTTTCCCTGACAATAGTTTCCATCAATGGCTGATAAAAGAAAAATTTCCCAAAGAATTCCATTTCCCAATTCCAAAGGTTTCCCAAAGGGGGACAATAGGTAGAATTCCACTTTGAGAGTCATAAAAGTGGTGGGCTTGGGAAAAAAATTTGGGGTTTGGGGGCCTCCCAAAACCCACAAAAGGGTTGCTGGTGGATACGGGACATCATAGGCGGGTTTTGCGGGGGGGTTGTGGTGGGCTGGTGGTGCCCCCGTTTTCCGCCTTTTTTTCCCCTTGGGGGGAACCTCTGCCCCCCCCCCGAGTTTCACCACCCGTGGTTCCCCCACCCTGGGGGCCCTGGGTGAACCCCCCAGGGCAGGGGCCCCGGTGCCAAACCCTTTTTTTTCCCCATTCACCCACTAAAAACCCCAAAAAATTCCATTTTTAAAATTGCCTTTGTGGTTTTTTTTAAAAATTCCATCCCCAAAAGGGGGAAAAAAGGCCAAAACCCCCCATTTTCCTTTTTTCCCAAAATTCAAAAAAACTAAAACTTGGTGAAAAAGGGGGGCCCAAGGGGGAGGGGGTATTTACGGGATTTGGTTAACTCCGGGGTTCCCCTGGGGCCCCCAGTTTTTTTAGGGGTTTTACACCTACCTTTTTAAAAGGGGGCCAAATTTGGCTTCGGTGGAAACCCGGAAAAAACCGGGGCCCCGGGCCCTTTATTTTGGTTTTTGGAATAGGAATTTTTTTTCCGGGGAAAAAAAACTTTTAAAACTTTTTTTTCGTTTTCGGGTCAAAAGGCGCCAAATAAAATTTTCAACCCAAATTCCCAAAAAAAACGGGTAAAAACTAATTAATCTTTTTATTTACGGATTTTTAAAAAAAAGAGGCTAAAACCAAAAAAAACGCAAAAAAAAAAAATTATTTGGTTTTTTCCTTCTTGCCGGTTTTAAAAGGAAAAAACCAAAAAAACCTTTTTGGAAGAAAACAAAAAGGGGCCCCAAAAAAAAAAACCAGAGGTAGAAGGTTGAGGGAATCCCGTCAAAGGGAAAATTCCCTTTGGCCAAAAATTATCGATTTTTCTTGGTTTCCATTTTTTTTTTTTTTTTTTTCCCGGGCCCCCTAAACTTTAAATGCAAAAAGGCCCCGTTAGGGAAATTTCGGTTTCACCCCCATTTCCACCCTTAAAAAAAATCCGGTGTTTCCCAGGAACCCCCAAAAATTTTGAAAAAAAGGAAGGGGGGGGGAAGGAAAAATTTCCCCCAATTTTCCCCTTCCCGGGGAAAAAAAAAAAGTG